TCCCGGCCGTGGAACAGTGGACCAGCTCTTTACCCTCGCAAGACTACTGGAGGGGTTCTGGGAGTTTGCCCAACCAGTCTACATGTGCTTTATGGACTAGGAGAAGGCTTTCGACCGGGTCCCTCGGGGGGGTCTTGTGGGGGGTGCTGCGGGAGTATGGGGTGCCGGACCCGTTACAACGGGCGATCCGGTCTCTGTACGACTGCAGTAGGAGCTATGTCCGCATTCTCGGCAATAAGTCAGACACGTTCCCGGTGGGTGTTGGCCTCCGCCAGGGCTGCCCTTTGTCACCGGTCCTGTTTGTGATTTTCACGGACAGGATATCTAGGCGCAGCCTGGGGGCGGAGAACGTCGGTCTCGGGGGTCTCGGGATCGCCTCTCTGCTATTTGCAGATGATGTGGTCCTGTTAGCCTCCTCGGATCGTGACCTCCAGCATTCACTGGGGCGGTTTGCAGCCGAGCGTGAAGCGGCGGGGATGAGAGTTGGCACCTCCAAATCTGAGGCCATGGTTCTCTGCCGGAAACCGGTGGATTGCTCCCTCCAGGTGGGGACGGAGTGCCTACCTCAAGCGAAGGAGTTCAAGTATCTCGGGGTCTTGTTCACGAGTGAGGGTAAGATGGAGCGGGAGATCGCCTACGTTGATGTTGCTGTGAAAACGTGGATGCCTGTGCAGCAGATGTCCCAATTGTTGCTCATTTCAACATCTTTTTCATTTCATTTCGAATATTTTCCATCCAAGACTCTGGCGCCTATCTGATGTGCACATGCACTGAGTCATAGATGCCCACGTATATTGTATAATGTATTACTACTTTGTAGTCTTTTTAACCAAATAATGTGAACATCGATGTTGAGGGATTGGTTTGTATACCACGCGGACACAGACTGAAGCTTTGATGTAAGATAAAAGAGGCGATGTTCGTGTGCAGGTCATTGGGAGTTGTCCCGTGTAACAGATGTTTTTAAGCCACCTCCAGATCTCCCGTCTGCTCCGCATATGTGTTACTGTTGATGTTACCGTTTGATTTGAAGGACTGCACCAGAGTTGAGGGAACGTAGGTATTCTGCCAACATTGTGACTCTGTCTAGATTGTTTCCATATCTGCTTCCTGCATTTAAGTCTTAAATTATCATTTGATTATTTGAAATTTAAGTCTGTTTTCAAGGGAAAATGCCAAAAATTCTCTGTTTTCAGCCCCACAAATGTGAGTTTCCTGCTTTCTGTGTTTTATTTCCGTTCTGAACTGAAAGTCTTTGTAATGGAAAGACGTGATCTGCGGGAATTGTGATGAAGATTTCCCGTTTGCTCACATTTTTTTATACATTACAATGAATTGATTAACATAAGAAAATAAATTTTGTGATAATATCAATTTTTAGGTGCAAACATAAGTGCATTTTATAGATCTTTAAATCTATAAAAATAGTTTGTGCCAACAATCTTGAATAGAAAAACAAGTAAAATACCATTTAGGCTTCAAAGGCTCTGTTCTAGTTGGCGTGGATTCCCAACTGTTGAAATGGATTTCAGTGCCAAATAGTATACAATACTTCGTTGTTGTGCTATTGCCTCCTCATAGCTCTGAAGCTATGTTTGAAATGCCAAATGTATCTATTTTAAAAGTTTTTTTTTTTTTTTTTGGAATATACACAGTAATGATGGAGTAGTGGATTCTGACTCAGGAGTGGTTTGAGAAGTTTCTTTTGGGGTTTTGATATGTTTTGAAAGCTGCCATTCCTTAAGATTGTGAAGGAGATGAACATGATATCTTGAAATGGAAGCCACGTAGATGTAACCAGCTTCGACTGAGTAACCATTGTTTGTGATTTCTTTTAGTACCAAAACTCACTTATCACTCTGATGTTTTCTGGCTGTGTTGCTCCCTCTGATGAGTGGCGGGAACATTAAGCTGCGCCAGTGTTTTCATTTAAATAAGTTAACAAACAAACACTTTTTATCGTGCACTCAGGATAAGACATGGAACTTGGCATTATGGGATATTGCTTTTGTTGCTGAATTGTTCTGAAGGTGTGTGTGTGTGTGGTGGAACAGTAGCCAAAGAGTATAAATAATCACCTCATACCTCAATTATTATTTTCGGTCTTGCCGTTTCTCGGGTCTTCTCCATTTTTGACCACAGAACATGTGCACTCTAACACGAACGCCTCCGCACACATTAATGCAGATTGAAGCGTGTAGGCTGTTAATGACTTGTTGTTTGGAGCCAAGTCTGGAGTAGCATACCTTGATTTTTTTTTTTTTTTTTTTTTTTTTTTTTTAATACTGTTTGATGCTTAAAATGGTGCCAGAGACTTGATTGGGCTACAGTGTCCTTTAGAGGTCAATCCTAAGACAAAACATTCCAGTTCCATGTTCAGTCCTTATTGATACTTTAAGATATCAATTCAATCAAAGTTTGAATTTCCACCTCATTACAGAAAATGATCAAAAATACAAGTTGTCAGGTTTTCACTTTCACCTGCAACATGTAGCACCATTAACAGGAACACAGAACGGGGATGCCCCCCCCCCCCCAGATGAAGGTAAGATAGCCGAAAATGTTTGCTGAATAAAGCGTGGCGTACTGGAGAAGCGTTGTGCAACATGTTTAATTTTCATGGACATGCATTGAAGCTCACATTGGTCTGCATTTGACTTTGTGTGCAATGAAATGAAAGGAAAATAAAACATCACAAATAAGTAATAATCAGTGTCATAGTGTCTAATTTATGTGAAAGTACTCTAATGCCTCTGCCTTTCACATTACTGATTTTGGTGGATATGTTTTGAGACACGGATCTCTTTATATCACTATGCAGTACATTAATGTCGGTGTAATTGGACATTTTATCTTGGCCAGTCCTCCTGTCAACAGAGCAGCCAGTGGATGCAGGGAGGACGTAATGACAGCAGTTCCAAACTCTGACCAATAACACACATCTCAAACAACATGAATAACCTCTGTATTGGATGTGTTTGAAACACACTTCCACAACAGTAGTCAATTTACGCATGTTGGGAGCTGGTATGAACAGTGATGAAACCCTAATTTAAGATGTGCAGGACTTCAGGCTCAGAATAACCACATGTGAGTTTGGTTGGGGGTTGCAGGTCAAACGCTCACAATGAAAGGACTGCACCTGTCTGCATTTTCACCAGCACAACAGCCCAACAAGTTACGCCTTGTGCTGTTCTACTGCACTATGAATATGAATTTTGCCTCCGATGTGTACTGAGATGTGATGCAATTCAGTTAAGGTCTGAACATTGGTTTTCGTCACCATGGTTACACTGGACCCCAGAAGTTGTTTCTCAGGATCAAAAAGCATTTTTATTTATACGCGTGTTTTGTTTTGGCCGTGCTCACGCCCTCTGTGTTCTGACTTGGCATGGTCAGATGTTTACAATTCAAATTAATTCTGTTAAATAGTTAAATAGTCCCATCTGAGAGCTGCATAATGCGACTTCACGTTTACCCCGCCGGCCTCTCGAGCAGGTCCAGTGGGGCCGAGAAACATTGAGCTTTGCTGAGTGATGGAAAGTCTCGTGTTTTCCTCGGTGTGATGCACATCGATGATTCTTTGGTCAGATGTCACAGCTGTTTTCACAGAACTGCTGAGAAGTTATTTGACTTAATTGATAGTTGGGTCCAGTCTCAGCATCGTGCACATTCTGTATCTGGTCTTTGGTGAATTGCTTCATCTGGGCAGAGATCCCAGTTTCTCATCTTTTTCAGTGTGTCTATATTTTTTACGTCCTCTGAGCCTGTTGTATTGTTTACATGTTTAGTGTTTTTGTTATTTCCAATATGCAAGATGTGCAACACAAAACTCTCTTAACAGACCTTTTGTCTTTGTCAGTCACACTCGCGCACACATTAGTTCTTTAGCTACACACTGCACATCAATTTATTACCACCTCATTTCACAGCCCATGAATCCGTCCGTGGCTGTTTTTCATGCAAGGCTGTTTAAGGCTTTATAGGTTCTTTACAGTCACTGTGCTCCTCCCGTTCAGCCTAATTACACAGTTGTTTATGTGTGTGTGGTTTTATTAATGGGCCTTTACACTCTTTTTTTATTCTTCATTGAGCTGGGTATTGTTGTTAAAAGGAAAGGAAGCCTATTGGGAATTCTAAGCACGGCTTCACTGACTAGATAGTAACTTATGAATACATATCAAAGCCTTCTCAATACTCTCACAGGTCATATTGTGGACTTTTCTCATTTTGTAGGCAAAAACTGACCTCTGAAGAGTTGATAACCTTTTTTTGATTTACGGGACTAAAAGGAATATTCTTTCAAACACAGCCGACATTTTCAGTTTCAGGAAAGGAAGAGAGATCATATTCTGCAAAGAGAAAACAAACACGAGACTTGGTGATTGGAGGAGAGTATAGTAAAGTATATAGAGACTATACTCTGCCAGTGATATTAAGAAATATTATCACTGGCATGAAAAAGAGGCTAATATTTGTCTTTAGGTATTGCAGTTTATTTGCATGTGGTGTTTAATTAAACGTAGTATTCATCAGTATTATTGTTTCTCTGACACATGTATCAGTTTTCAAATAGATAAGGTGTTTATATGTGTGTGTCACAGTGGATTCCCCCTACGTAGTGGCTCCCTATTGGCTTTCTAGCTAATGTGTTGTCTTTCTCTCTGTGTATCTGTCCGTCTGTCTTTATTACTGTCTGTCTGTGAATTTGGTTGTTTGTGCCCAAACTTGTATCCCCTATTTTTTTGTCACACACATTCGGTCTGTCATTTATTTATTTCTATTTTCCTGTGAGTTGTTTTTTGCATGTTTTGCTTTTGTTGACTGTGTGTCTCCATCCTGTATCTCCACAAACTGCTTTGAATGTATGTTTGTGTTTGTCTCTGTCCGCTCGCCTCTCACGCGTCCATTTATGTCCGTGCGTCTCTTTCTTTGTGTCTGTTCTCGTCTCCGTCTGTCTTTCCCTCTCGTCGCTGTCTCCATAATGTCCCCTCCTCCAGCTTTTGTGACTTTGCTGAACGGGGACCAGGCTCAGGATGCCATCCGCTCCCTCCATCACAGCACTGTCCGGGGTCGCTTGATCAACGTCACGCTGCAGCCCACCGACTCCCTGCTCTGCCTCACCAACCTGCCCCACACCTTCACTGCCCAGCAGCTCGAGGAGCTGGTACGCGCCTACGGGAATATCGAGCGCTCCTTCCTGGTGTACAGCGAGCTGACGGGCCACTCCAAAGGATATGGGTTTGTTGAATACATGAAGAAGGATTCTGCCTCACGGGCCCGTTCTGAGCTACTGGGCCGGCCCCTGGTATGTTGGAGCAGTTGTTAAAATGATCCTGTCATGTTTGATTATTTCAAAAAAAAATTTAATTTCCTGTGTCCTGAGTACAAAAGATGCATTTTAGTTTGCCGGGCCAAACCAGGGCTACACTTTAATTTAATTCACTTTACTTGAATTGGCTCGACTTGACTACAGTATAATTAATGTGATTTCACTTGATTTGATACAATTATTACCCCACTTTTTTTTTCAGGTAACTTATTGAAACAATGGATTTGATTATACTTAATTAGATTACTGGCCAACACAAAGTGGGTTCCACATTTATATAGATTTAATTTAGCCCCCAACAAAACTGCAACCAGCTGGCCTTCTTTGATTTAAACAAAGTGAGTGAAAGAGGAGTGATGCATTTCAGTCATTGGTCACATCCTCACATTGAGTTGTTTACTTCCAAAGAAACTTGTAAACATCATTTGGGTTTTTTTGTAGAAGCTGTCCAAACAGAAAACAGATAATCAGTACCAATATGGGTTCTGCCAGATGAGTTGATTTCAATTTATCTCCTAAAATATGAAACAGTTTTCAGTTTGAACACATTGAACTGAGGGAGGAATCCCTGAACAAAAAACATCTCATCGAATTCTAGTGCAGTTTACTTTAAATTATACAAGAGATCGTCTAAACCTCGCATGTCTGATTGGCTCAATCAGTGAAACAAAACTGTAGATGGAAGTGTGCAGCTTAAGGGCTGATGAGCTTTCAAAATCAACACTTTTGAGCCAAGAGGATGAATATATAAAAGCAAGTAAAGTTATATTTACTAACATTTTCTCACAATAAATGCAGAATGTAATGGGTGCTTATGCAGTGTAGGAGGGGAAAGCGAGTTCAGGGTCTTAAAAACCTGATCCTGTGTTCTGATTGTGCAGGACGGTCGCTCGTTGATGGTGCAGTGGATGGACGTCAACCAGCTGAGCCAAGAGGAGAACCTGCACTCCAAGTGTCTGTGCATAAACCGGCTGCCGCTAAACCTCTGTGACTCTGAAGAACTGACCCAGCTCTTCTCAGAAACCTACAAACCTATCTTCTGCCAGGTGTGTATTCGTGTGTGTGTGTGTGTGAGAGATAGTGTGATAGACAATTGTTCTTTCTTACCAGAAAAACATTCCAACAAAAATGTGACGGGGACTTTAGTTTTCACTTCTCATACGATCAGTTCTGCAAAATTGTGTATCAAAGAGGTTACGGCTCATTGAGCATGTCTGTGAAACCAAAATATTAGATAAATGTTCTGTTTTTCATTTTCTTCGTGCTTTATAGTGTAGCAGAAGCTCTAAAAGAAAACGATATTCACCTCACAAAATCCACCAAAGTCTTCATAATAGTTACGTCACTTTGAAATGCTTCCCTTCTTCCACACACGGTGATCAGTCGAACACCACCAGGTGAGATGTGCTGTTATCACCCCACCCTTCAACCCCCTCCCTTCCTCCCACTCTGCTGTGTTTCAGTTCAGCTGAGTTATATACCACCCTGCCCCGTTACAGCCACAGCACCCCCACGTTCCTATTTCGACATCACTCAATAGGTATCTGTCATCTGCTGCATTACCAGTTTTAGCTCCACCCCTTCGCCCCACTCCCACATAGAAATCAATACACCCACATCATCCCGGTCCCATGATGCTTTGTGGGTGTTTAGCTCATGTTGCTTCACTGTTGCAGAGCCAGCAGGCTTTGACCTATAGTTCAGCGTTTTCTTTATGTACAGTATGTGTGTGTGTGAGCTACTGGACTTCAGCATGTATGCACTAGAAATACTTAAAGCACAAAGCTTCTGAAAACCTGTACTCCGATGAACAGGATGCTAAAACAACATATAGAGGGATATGAAAACATACAAGCTAGCTTTGAAACAAGTAGCCACAGTATTTCATTTACCAACACGCCTGTGTGGGAGAGTACTGCAAAGCCCTTTTAATCATAACTGCTGTTTTGTATTCATTTGACGCACTCTAGGTCCACGTTTGTCAGCTGGTTTGGATTGATGCTACTGAGGATACTCTTGATTTCAATGCAGGAAAACACAAATATTGTCTAAAAAGCATCACTCCTATTGCACCAGCTCTGTTTTAAGTGGCATACCCAGCTATTGTTGGTTCAATCTGTCAGCGTTCGCATTTTCCACCATAAAGATTGTTTTATTGATATATATGTGCATCCCAGAGAGCTAGGTGTTTAAGCTGCTGACAATATAATCGCAACATATCTTATATCTTACTGGCGTCAGCTGCAGTTTGTCTTACAGAAAACCTCTTCCTCTGTGCACATAGACCTCAGCGGTCTTGTTACTTTTGCTCTGTGCAGAGTGCATTTAACCTGTGGCCTTGGCCCTCAGCGCTATAATTCTGGTACCCACGTAAGGACCCTCCATGCAGCACTTTAGTTTAAGTCATCCAGGAGAGATGGAGGGAGGAAAGGGGAAAGAATGTCAACCAGATTAGAGGGACAACAGGATGGAGACAGTAAGGAGGGATGGCAAGGAGAGAGGACAGTGCTGAGAATGCCAGACCTATTAGAGAGAAGATGGAGCGAGGGAGGAGAGGGCAGACAGTGTCAGGACTAATAGGGGGATGGAGAGAGGTGGAGAGCTGAAGTGAAATGGTGAAGAGAGGTAGACTGTCAGTCACGGTGAAAAGATTGTTTGCATATTTTTACATGTAATGATGATGGCTGACTAGGAGACAACAAAAAGCATCACAGCAGCTGAACCTAGTGAAACAAAATGAGCTGTATAAGAATGTGGGAGGAATCAAAGCTAATTCTGAATACTATTAAATAATACAGCAGGATTATGAAAAACCGATAATAAAAAGCGATGAATTTATCTGAAGATCGATTGAAAACGGATAAAGTACCCCACTTTTTGACAATGCAGTTGCATTGTTTTATTCAGAAGCAACAGAAAATGCTAGTTTTGAATATACAAACAACCGTGTTCCTCACACTCATTGTCGCACAGATAATTAAAGTCTTTCCAAGTACAATCTTTAAGCTGCCTGACACAATCATTGCCCCCCTTTGGGGGAACCTGCAGTGTATTCTTTCTTCAAAGAAAGAATAACTCAAAGATAGGTGTCAAGTTTAATTACATATTTTGCTGCACACAAAGATAATGAAAACCCTCCACAAACATTTGTTTGTTGGTGAATTTCAACTTTGATTTAGTGGAATTGTTTCATGTGGCATCACCCAATCTCAAGAGTAATGGTTTCTTGATTGTTTTATCTGGAGACTTCCACTTCTAAATTATCTTTTTGAATAATAGTCACACTTTCAGTCTTTCATATACACATACACACATCTCTCCAGGTCTCTTCATGAAGATCTGTACAGTTAAACTGGTCTCTTACTGTGTTTACATGGACGTGAATATCTCATTTCTGAGGATTATCCCTGGTAGGATCATATTCGGGATGTGATGTTTACATGAGTACAGAGAAGTATACGTGATAAATACTAGTTACCTGGTTCCTGGTTACGGATTACTGCGTTCCATTTGTGCAGGCGCTGTGATGTTTACAAAAACAAACCAGAGATGAGAGCGAGAGGAAATATTAAACACTACACATTTACTACCACTTGACAACTTCATTAATCATCTCTTTTCCGTTCCGATCTCCCAAAGAGCTTACGATAACATCTCATCTTCATCATAACCTCTTTGGATCGCCAACAGCTGTTTGCTCTGAGCACATTTACCATGTCTCTCTCTCAACCACACGCACTACGAACTGAAAGCAGAACAGCTACGCTACTCTCATAACACTGTCCTCCACAGCGGCGTGAGTCTGTCACTGTCACTACATAGGACAGGGGATCAGTGGATGAAGATACGCATCCTCTTTCATCACCGAAAGACAACATTTTCTTTCTTTGTTGCTCCAGAAGTGAGACGCTTTCGCTCCTGACATTTTTTGTATTTATATTATGTCACTTGGCTGAAGCACTAAGAGCATGCTGTGTACATGTAACAGTATCCCGGTTTCTATCGGAGTACTCTAGCTGCATAAATGGAATAAGGGCTTATACCACTTTCTGAATACGGGAGATGGGGTGCAAACACATAAACGGGATACTCCAAAAACCCGATCATAAACAGGTTATTTGTGTCCATGTAAACATACTCACTGTGATGGGTCACGTACCTTGCTTCACAGAAGGCTGTGACAGGGCTGTCGTGACCTCATCACTCAGTTCAGACAGCTGATGTGGCCGTTTAAAACACAGACACACACACAAACCCTGCCGGTGCCTCAGTCAGCATCTCTTCACTGTGGACCACGACTTGAGGTCAAGAGCTGTCACACACACTGATAACTAGCTTAGCATCTTTGGTTTCTTTTCTGCACTCTTACACACACACACACACACACACACTTTACTGTACAAAATGCATTGGGGGGGGGGGAAATGTTTTATTTATATTTCTGCTATTAAACCAAATATACTTGCTGATGTTAGGCAAAGGGAGTTCTTAAAGTCACATACGATACATTTATTAATATGGTGTCTTCTGATGCAAAATACATAAAGTTGACCCAGACAAATGAAGTTATTGACATGGGTAAGATGCACTCTGGGCTACATCTAAATGTAAGACCTGCCAACGTAACATCTCTGTCCATTTGAATACAGTTCATGATTTTAGAGGTTTGGTCATATTTTAGGTTTTGGTCTGTCCAACAACACTAAACAAGAGTTGGAAAAAACAATCAGCATGTCTTGTGATTTGATCCCCAGGTTGTTGTTTTTTTAACCCCCCAAAAACTGTGCATACAGGGTTTTATATCTCTATGAAATAATGTTCTATGGCAGGCTGAACAAAATGAACAAGTTGAGGTTGTCAACTGCTGTTAATTATGCAATAATTCAAGGTACGTCAACTTGACTCATTTGGCAGAAGTGTTTGATTACATTGTCAAAAATCAGGGATGGCAAGTAATGTTTCAGTACAAGTCAAAAGAGTTGTACAAACTAAATACCTTAGCATCATTCTTTGGTGTGCTGGAAATTAAACTGCGCTACATGAACATTATGCAATAAGCTACATTTGTCAGTTTGCATGTACAATACATATACATAGACATTCAGCACTGCGAAGAGTGAATGCCTAGTTACAACTCTTTGGAAAATATTAAAATCATGATGATTACATACTTATTGGACATATTCATTTAGATGTTACATCATGACAGAAAAACCTGCTGTGATTTGCACCCCATACCATGGACCTTATGGTGCAGTGGATTCGTTTAATTAGTTATTCAAACTCTACTACCTGTTTGCCAAAACATGAAGGATTGCATTCTGTTAATTGGGCTGATGTAGGGTCATTACAATTTGGAATTTCCTCTGGGCCAATCTGTTTTAGATTTACGTCGAGGATAATTTACAGGATGAAGCACCAAATGAATGCAGTTAATTACACTTAAATTTTTCTAAATCATACCTTGAGGACAAGGCAGAGCAACGGTCAGACATTAGAATGAGATGTCCACGATATAAAAGAGGTTCCAATTGAAAGAAATATCATTGTAACAACATGTGATCAAGGTTTTTATGGGACCTTTACAATTCCAGACGGTGCTGAGTGAAGATGAAGAAGAAGTCTCTCAGCTCTTCAGTATCACAGACATCTTTTGATTTTTAGTTTTTTTTTTTTGTCATGACTGATATTTGGCACACCACTGCTCGTTGCAGCTGCCTTATGTGTCAAACTATGTGGATAATGTCAAAGCTACTTTATGGTTACAATACATTTAACATGTTCCCTTTGTGTAGCAACTACTGTTTTCTGTCTGAATAAGTGAAACAGCAAAACTTCATTTATTTTAGTTTTTCTAAGATATATAGATGAACCAAATGACAGCTGGCATATACAAGGCTCACATACAGTCCACACACGCCTACTTTAAATTAACATAATTGTTTGTGCAGATCTAACTAATGATTGAATATATTTTATATAGGGTGAGTGCAATCTGCGAATTTGAGTAGAGAGAGACTCACTCAGTCTTCACATTATTACTCACGCTGGCACACAACACACATAGTTGATGGTATGCTGAATGCCATTCGCACACAATCCAATTAGAATCCAATCTGATATATAATGTATGTTTTGCAGTTTACTCACTCCCACTTCGGTCTTATTTGTTGTGAAGAATAATGATTAGCATGTTTTCCTTTGTTTTCCCTCCTGTCTTTTCTGGCTCATATCCTCTCACTCTCTTCACTTGTCAGTTCCTTCATCAATCACTGATGTTTTTCTCCTTCACTCCTCTTCCCTTCTCTCTTTCTCTCACCGTCTTCTCCAAACTCCAACTCTCTCTCCTTCTTCCATTCATCCATCTCTCGAGTGGTGGAGTGTTTCAGGTCATTTCCATACAGTTTGCTTAATGTATGCTGATGATAATAGCTATCGACCTACTCCTCCACGCATACATCCATTTTCGGCCCTCGTTCCCTCCCTTGTTCCCTCCATCCATCCATCCATCCTCTGTTCAGACCGGAGGGAACAGCAGACGAATGAGAGGAGGGGTGGAGGGAGGGAGGGAGTGGAGGGCCACTTGATTGAGCGCTGATGGTAGCAGGCATCTGCACTCAGGCTGAGAAAGTACAAATACATTTGTCCCCCACTGATTTGTAATCTGTCCATTTTTTACAATGAAAATGTCTGACTACACCGCATAGAAGTGTGATTGCAATCACACATCCTCTGAAACTTAGTAGTTGAGTGTGCTGTCTTGTAAATGCTGTAAATATGACTGATTAATTGTTGTCACAAAAATATAAAGAATCCAGTGGTACTTGGTGCTCTATGATAATAAGCAGAATATATTATGATTGAACAAAACATGCATTTGCAGATTATCTTGGCCCTTTGGGAAGTTGTTTTCTGATGTATATCAACAATATAATGAGTAGATTAATCTATAATGAAAATGGTAATTAGTTGTATTCCTGGTATATATGAAGCATCCTCTGTAAATACAGTGGGAAAGGGCCCTGGGTAACATAGTATAAAGACAATAAGATGGTCCTTGATTGGAAAAAAAAATGAAAATACAAGTCATTATACTTGTGATCATACCAAGCGGGGTATTTTGCAGTTGAAAAATAAACTTGTCAGTGCTTCTTTGGGGACAAACAAAGAGTCACTTTCTAAATTACATCAAACAAATCTTTGACGTTCCTTGTTCTCACCACCGTGATCGCAAATGCTGATCTGCAATAACCTATCATCAGCTGAGATATGCACCTGGCAAAATGACCCGTCTCTACACTGAATGCTCAGTATCTCTTACAGAATATAAAATTACTTCTTTCAATTGTATTTTCCATAACCATGACATTTCAATAAATACATTTTAATAGCTCAGGTACCCTTGATCTGAGCACCAGATTTGTAAACAGTCCCAAAAATTGCACATATCCTGTGAAAGGTAAGCTAAATCAAGCACTCGTGTATTTTTGCGGTATTTTTATCAGCCACTACCAACAGTAGGTCAAGTGGTGCATTTTTTTTAACCATAAGCCATTAGCGTTCAGCCGTTGTCATTATCCAATATCATCCATTAGCTTTAAGCTATTAGCCTGCCTGCATTATTTAGCTGCTCCTCACACACTGGAAATGGCTGAACCTCCGAGACAGAAAACTCTTATCATCTTTCGGAATTGTTACTGGTCAGCATTACTGTCTGGCCAAGGAGAGCTCTATTCTATTGACCAGTTACCTTGAAGAAAATGTGATGACATTGTTCCACTAGCTTTCAGTGATGTTCACTGGGTATGGCCATCAAATTGTGAGCAGAATGTCTTTATTTGGATTAGACCAGTTCACATTTTGGTTGCTTTTACACACAATATGAAACTTTTGGTGTGTGTGTGTGTGTGTGTGTGTGTGTGTGTGTGTGTGTGTGTGTG